ATCTCAATCTCGCTATATATATATATCTATCTATATATCTATCTATATAATATATATATCTATCTATCTACTCTCTATATATATATATATATATATATACTATCTGTATATATATATAATAATGTATAATCTATCATATATGTATCTATCAATGTAGATATGTAGATATATACTGTATGTATATATATATCATATAATGTTATATAGATCATATCTATATCTACTGTATATTATATCTATCTAGATATCCTACGTGTCTCTTATATAATATATATAACTATATATATATATCTATCTATATATATATTTATATATATATACTGTATATATATATCTCATGTATCTATATTTATATCATGTAAATACTCTATATATATATATCAAATCTATATATATCTATTATATATATCTTCTATATACTATACTAATATACTTCTATATATATATCCTTAATAGATCTCTCTCCTTAATAATATATATAATTATATATCATATATATAATTACTATCTCTATCTAATTAATAATATATATAGATTACATCATATATATCATTTAGTACTATATAGCTCCGTCGTATATATACTCACCAAAATACTTAATCTATATCTAATCTCTATACTTAATATATATATATATATATATATATATATATCTATCTCTCTCTATCGTCTATTTATCCTATCTCTATATATAGTTCTCTATATATCATCTCTTCTATATCTATTATATATATATATCTTCTCTATTATTTATATATATATATATCTATGTCTGATATATATATCCTATCTCTCTCTATCGCTCTCGCTCTCTCATATACTATTATGTATTATATCTTCATCTATTCTTATCTTCATATATTCTCGTCTATCTTATCTTCTCTTCTATATCTCGAGTATCACCTTTAATTATATTCTCTATATTATATACTTATATCTTCTCTATTATATATTCTTTATTTCTAATATTATAATTATATCTTATTTCTTCTATATCATTATTTACATGTATTATAATCCTATTATATATATATATATATTCTATATATATATCTCTAGCTATCAGTCTCTATCTATATCTATCTCTCCCCATAGTATCTACTTACATATTCGTCGATGCTTAGATATCTATTATAATCTTCTATATATTATATCTATCTTCTCTATTACTCATCTCTCTCTTAGCTCTTCTCTATCTCTATTATATATGTATCATATATATCTTATCTCTCTCTCTTATCTAATGTTTTATCTATATTCTATATTATATATATATGTATATATAAATATGTAATATATGTAATATATGTAATATATGTAATATATGTAATATATGTACTACATAGACTACATAGACTACATAGACTACATAGACTACATAGACTATAAATACTATAAATACTATAAATACTATAAATACTATAAATACTATAAATACTATAAATACTATAAATACTATAAATACTATAAATACTATATATACTATATATACTATATATACTATATATACTATATATACTATATATACTATATATACTATATATACTATATATATATATATACTATATATATATATATATATATATATATATATATATATATATATATATATATATATATATATATATATATATATATATTATATATATATATATATATATATATATATATGTATATATATTATATATATATATATATACATATATATATACATATATATATACATATATATATATATATATATACATATATATATATATATATATATATATATATATATATATTATATACATATATATATATATATATATATATATATATATATATATATATATATTATATACACACATATATATATATATATATATATATATATATATATATATATATATATATATATTATATATATATACACATTTTACATTATCTTACTTTGCCATTAATAATGTTTATAACATTATAGGAATTATAATGTTTATGATAAAAATAACACCATTGATATTTATAACACTAGTAAAAATATATTTTCCCGCCAATTCAAGGAAAGATGAAATCAGGTAAGGCAGAGCTATCTATGTGTAGAGACATTTTACAAAAAATATAAAAATTGAGCATAGCATTTTCCCCAATTTTTATTCATTTTCTCTGGCAGCAATGGGTTAATATACTGTATGATGTTGTTTTAACCCATTCGCCACATATGGCAAGAATAGATGCCATACCCACTTTGATACACGTTTATTTATTATAGTTACACATAGATGGCTCCACAAGTTTTTAATCACCAAATAGCCAGTTATCAAGAACTACCTATTTCACCTGTTTACCCTTTTCCTTCACTTTAGGAAAAGGTTTTTTGTATCATTTCATTGTCAAAAATATTCTAATGACAATTCAATAAGCATAACATCAATAACAATAATAACAGTATCGAAAGCAATGGTATTAGTTTTCCCGCCAGTTCAATGAATGGGAAAATCAGGGTCGGTAACTAGGGCCTACTGATAGACTCCTTGCCGGCTGAGCACATGTGGAGCCATCTGTAGGTAACAAAATTCACTAAAAACTACAGGGGACAGAACATAAGTCCGTGGCGAATGGGTTAAGGATAGAGTTTTATTAGGGGAGAGTATGTGGACTAAAAGGATGGGGTGGGTTTAAGGGGTGTAGCTAAATAAAACAGTACCAGTATTACTTCCTCAGATTCCCAACATGTCATTAACCCTTTGCCGACGGGGAAAATGAATAAAGAATGGGGAAAATACTGTGCTCATCTTTTATATTTTTTTGTGAAATGTCTCAACACATAGATGGCAACACATAAATGGCTCTGCTTTACCTGATTTCACCTTTCCTTGAATTGTCGGGAAAATGTCTTTTTTACTAGTGGTATGAATATCGATGGTGTTAGTAACATTATTTTGGTGTTAGTAACATAATTACTATAATGTTATAAACATTAATAATAGCAAAATAAGATAACATAGAATATATTCAAAAATTAAAGAAAAGGGTAAACGGGCAAGACAGACAGTACTTGTAATTGGCTCATTGGTGACTTAGTACAAGTGTAGCCATCTGCGTGTAAAAACAATCAAATAAGTAATCTCACAATGGTCATGGCATGGCATGCCTGTTGGCAATGGATTAACACAGATTATGCTTAATCATTTCAGCTCAGATCAAGCAACAGAAGTAAGAATACACTTGAAGAAACATCCTCACACTTCAAGGGTTAAACGCTATTAAGGCTACTTGAATTGAAGCTCTTAGTTAATAGATATTTAGTTAAATCAGGACTGCCTTAAGCAGTAGTCTGCAAAGAAACACTTACTCAAGTGCAGTTTTTTTCTTTCTTTCTTTCTTTCTTTCTTCATATATATATATATATATATATATATATATATATATATATATATATATATATATATATATATATATATATATATTTATATAATTTTTATATATATATATATTTATATATTTATGTATATATATTTATATACACATACATACATTTCAATTAAACCCTTGAATGTGGATGGTGGGACCATCATGTCATGAAAAATTTAGCTGAGGGTCAGAGTGAGAGGAACATGCTGTCATGAGAATTTCAGCTGAAGGCCCAGGTGGTGGGAATGACTCACCAGAAGTATATAGAGCTCTTGGAGGGTAATTAGGCTCAGTGGACATTTAGGAAAGGACTTTCGCATTATTCCTGACAGCAAAGGGTGTCGATTGCATCATCCATGAGCCATGACTGGAAGATCACCAGCTCCAAAAAGAACATTATTTCCAAGTTCGAGAACCTATTCCTGCAGGTTGTAGGTTGTATTACAGAAAATTGAATTTTATGAAAGAAAAGACATAGTAACTGTTTCTTATTGCAATTATTATTGCAGAGAGTTATGGACTACTGTAGTATTTCCATCTGGATACAGCATATCAAATAACAAGTCTAGACATTGGAAAAGGGCAAATAAACAAAAAAAGAAAAGAGATGATAGCATTGCAAAGGGTGGCCACTCAGGAAAGTCTATTGACCAGATTTTGCACCACGTTGGGCAGTAAAACACCCGGGTCCAAGAGGTTATTTTAATTTTAATGAATATCATAATTCATATCATATTTCTTATCTTCACTTATTTCTACACAGAATTTCAATTTCAGTTGATAATGGCTGTGACATTGTTTACACACAGAGTATGTCGAGATTAATGACATAACTAGCAAGTTTGTTGGCTGAAATTAAATATTTTAAATGATAGTTCTGTTGTCCATATGACCAGCGAGTAAGGAAATAGACAACATATATAGGGAGCAACTTTAAAAGTTAGATAAGATCAGTAACTGGTTGTTGAAAAAAGTGCTTATGTAACCATGGCTTAAATTACATAGGTTATGTATTTGTTTATACATAAAGTTGTACAGTACTTTCAGAGAAGTGTCAAATGATTCAAAAACTTATAACCTAGATAGTATTTTAATGTACTACTATATTATTAAATTGCATTTTTTTTTTTTTTTTTTTTTTTTTTTTTTTTAGCATTGTTTGATAATAATAAAATATGAAAATATTGATATAGATTTTTTCTTTATCAGTAAGTAGAAACTTCATACAAAGGTATTTGTAGGCTTAGCAGAATTTGTCACCATCTATTTTAGTTTTGTTTAATACTTATATTAGATTGCAGAAGACAATGCATATTGATGCTCTTAGCCATGTTTTTTTCTCATGTATACTGTATTTTTCTTTATACAGATATGGTATTTTGGCTATATATGTATTCATCTTCTTCATGAAAATATTGATGTAATACTTTCATGAATAATTTACTCCATTTTTCTCACTCATCAGTTTGTATGCCTCATAATATTATGAAATATCTGTTAATTCAACACTAAATTTTTCTCGGTATATCATGTACATCAATAGTTGATATTAAATTTCTTAAATATCCCTGTGATATCTTCTTGTTATTTCTCTCTTTTTCTTCTAG